ACCAGAACTAAAACCAGGTCTAAACCAGGTCTAAACCAGGACTAAACCAGGACTAAACCAGAACTAAAACCAGAACTAAAACCAGAACTAAAACCAGGTCTAAACCAGGTCTAAACCAGGACTAAACCAGAACTAACACCAGGACTAAAACAGGATTAATCCATTCCAGGACTAAAGTAGGACTAAAGCAGGTCTAAACCAGGACTAAAACAAGGACTAAGACCAGTGATCTCATATATAAAGCATTTCTCTATCAATAATATTTTTAATATGGTTAAGGAAAGACTGGACTTTTTATTGTCTTTAAGTAGACAAAAGTTATTATGTTCAGATTTCCTCGTCTTTGCTGCTTTACAGCAAACAGTTTCTTATTCATGGAGACTTGGGCTCAACAGACAATTTGGAGAGATTTGTTAAACAATAAATGACTTTATAAAGTCACTTTTTTAAATTGATATTAGTCTTTTGATCTGCCACAATAATGTAATAATGAATTTAAATGAAAATACCTCAAATTGAAGCTTTTCTCAGCAATTTTTAGGTGAGATTAAAATGAGATTAATTAGATTAATTAATTACAGATCATAATGAATTAATCTCTCAATTTTTTTAATCGCATGACAGCACTAATATATATATATATATATATATATAGGAATATAGGACTAGTCCACACACACATCACAGACAGACTTTAAAATATAACAATAAAACTCTTGAAACAGTGAGAGAACACGTGGTCTTTAGTGCAAAGATGTGCTGCCTAAATAAGATGAAATATGATTAAATGAACAGATGAGTTGTTGTTGTCACTTTTTTGTTTTGTGTTTATTTATTAAACCTTGCTGAAGTCTTTGTCGTGATCACGTGGTGCTGCGTGGAGCGTCCTCCTCTGTCCCGTGTGTTTCGGTCAAATGGACTGATTATCAGCTCATGATTAGGGAAATCTCATTCACCAGTCACTTTACATGCTCCTTTTCTGGTGAGGTGGAGGTGTGGAGAGGGTGGGATGTGACGTGGGTCTAGTCAGTTGCAGGTGGGATTTATAAAGCACAGATTGCGTGGTTTAGTTTGTGCAGTGGGTTTTCTAAATATGGAGTTTGCGTGGATATCTGACACTGGGACATTTCAGAACATTTGTTAAAACCTAAGTAATTATCTAGCCATCATACTTTTTCAGCATATTTGCGATATCGGGCCTATTAATTAAGATCCAACTAAATTACTTCTGCCACTTTTTAACTTACATTTTGTCATATTAATAATAATGAATACATGTATTCTGATCATCTGTATGGTGGAATGTTCAGCAGTTACCATGGTGACACAATTCATTGCATATAACAACAATATAGCCGCAAGCAGCGATGATGGGCCCTGGCTTATGTCTACACCTTACCCCTAACCTAAACCTAACCTTAACCCCTAACTACACCCTACCTTAACCCCTAAGCTCTAACCAAGCCCTGCAAAACTTTAGGGAGCAGGAGTGCTACTACTTGGATGTAAAGAGATTGTGTAAAAGTGTCCTTTTGGTGCTCTTCAGTGTAGGAACCAGTCTCAAATGCAAAGATGAAAAGGCTGAGGTTCAAAAAGTACAGAAAAATGAAAAGCTTTAATAGCACATGGCAGATAAAGTTAAATCAAATCAAATCAAACTTTATTTATAAAGCACTTTTCATACAAAAATGTAACACAAGGTGCTTTACAGTCATTAAAAACAAACCCACATTTCATTCCACCCACTCACCAACCCAACCCCCACAGCTGCCCGACCCCACACAACCAAACAACACACACACACTCACACACACACTGACATGCTAAAATACATGAAACCGCACATAGTAAAATGTGAGGCTGAATACAGGTGAACCAGTTGAGAAAGCACCATCAGTGGAGCCATCTACACCAGGAGTGTAGAGACTCTACACCAGGAGCGGAGAGCCTCTACACCAGGAGCGGAGAGTCGTCTACACCAGGAGCGGAGAGCCTCTACACCAGGAGCGGAGAGCCTCTACATCACGAGCGGAGAGCCTCTACATCACGAGCGGAGAGCCTCTACACCAGGAGCGGAGAGCCTCTACACCAGGAGCAGAGAGCCTCTACATCAGGAGCGGAGAGCCTCTACACCAGGAGCGGAGAGCCTCTACACCAGGAGCGGAGAGCCTCTCCACCAGGAACAGAACATCCACCGCCAATCACACCAATGCGTTTTGGCCCTCCAGCCTTCATCAGAGCAAACTCAAGATGGCTATCACAGTGCACATTTAAAGTAATAGGTGTAGGTCATATGTTGGGAGTGGGCTGGCCCACAGTCCCCTGGTGCATGATGGGACATGTAGGCCGAACAGATTTTAGTTACAAGCTATTTAAACCACAAGATATAAATATTACTATTCCCAACAACCAAAACATACAAAAATACATAGTATATAGTAGGAGTGGCACGGTTTATGAAAAAAAAAGCACCGTTTGATTCATTTGTCACGATTCGGGACGTGTCCATACCATACAGTTTCCATGGTTCCCGGCTTGCACATTGTAGCCTCGTGCCCGTATGTGACCTGTTTCACTTTGGCACAAAAGAAGAGGTGAGGAGGATGGGTGCTGCACATCACGTGTAGAAATGGCAAGTAGGAGAGAAGAGGGCCGCCTGGAGATGGAGGATGCGCCCGTGTCGTTACGCGCGTAACCCCGCAAAACCACAGCCGCACGTCAACGCAAAGGCGGCTTCACCAGCAGCTGCAGCAGGACGCACACGTGCAGCACTGGCTCTATTTTTGTCAATGGGAAAGACAATCAAACTTGACTGGGTGGGTTTAGCCATGCAGTAGAGCCAGGTCCTAAGGGCTTGGCATGTGTATTTCACCCTACGCGAGCATAAAAACTGCAACTTTTATATACGTAACTTTTAGAATAGATGGAAAGTGAATGAGGGCGGCTCCACTGCATGTGCACGTCTGGTGCGTATGGAGCAGCATGTTTAGATTTCAGAAAATAGGATCCATCCTATTTTTTGACGCTCTACACGAGTGTAGGTGTGTATCCCCATCAAAACACACAGAGAGCATGAATCTCTGGTTGTATTTGTGCGTTATTTTTTAGTTGTCTTGTCATGATCTATTTCTGTGTCAAATCTCATTCTCATTCTCATGAAGAGAAGTGCGAGTTTTAATAGTTGGTAAAGTGTTGGAGTTTTTGCCATTGTTCACATGGTGAAATATGGGGGATTTAGGGGTTAGGGGAAAAAGAAGAAGACATCAGGACACTTTGTTGATCAGTATGAGTGTTCATGGTCCTGTCTAACTTGAGTAACAGAACTTCAGACAGAACATGCCTCTAGTTAGTTTCAACCCCTCAGGCAAAACTGATGACATCAGCTGATTTAAATAACTTTACTAAAAGCTTTTAAAAATGCTGAATTCAAGAGTCTAATTGCAGAAGAAATAAAGAACCCGATCTGTACATTTTAACTGGAGTATTTTATTTAAAGCCGTAGCAATGATCATTAATACTTAATTAAGAGAAAGCACCTAAAGGTGACTACATTTTCATAAACAAACTGTGGACTGCCCTGTGTCCAAAGCAAAGTGCACACAACACTGCCTCTGTGTGGTTGGAACTGGATAGACCAGCTTGCATGACTTAGAAAAGAAAGTAAAATAGTGCTTAGCAATGTCTTATTAAACATTATCCCCTTAACCTTGAAAAACAGAACTTGTTCTTCTTAAATGGTTTACAGTGATCCCAAGTCCCACTTACCTTATGCATTCAAATTATTCACCACAGTGATTTTTATAAGCACTTTTCACAAGTTTCATAGGCCAGAACTGAGTTTTGCTGTGACGGTAAAGCTAACAACATCTAGCTTACAACCCACACTTCTTGATTATTGGACAATGAAAGGTTTTCTAATTAGACACAGATACATTCAGTGGACTTATTTTGACAAATGATAATTCAAGAGTTGCTTTTACAATACATCTGTACTGAAGCAAGACACATTTTGATCAATCAAATTTTTTATGTAAGTAAAAAGGCACATAGTTCAAATGGTCACAGCACAGTGGGACACCGGTGGCAAAACTAATGTTCTGTCCTTAGGCAAGACTCTTCACCCACCTTGCATTGTAGGATTGAGTTGTGGTATGCAAGAGTTAGTGGTGGATGGTGCAGAATGGCAGCCTCGCTACAACAGAAGTTTACCATCAGTGAATGTGTAGTGAATGAATAATGCACTGTAAAAAGCTTTGGGTGTCTTGAACGGTGCTTTCTAAATCCACAATGAGTATTACTGAGTCCTCTCTGTATGTCAAAATAATCAGTGTCTGATTAAGTGTCTTTTATATATCATGGTGATATAAAAGCAAGATTATTAGCACTTTGTGTTGCATTTTTGTATGAAAAGTGCTCTATAAATAAAGTTTAATTGATTATTTATTAATTAGTCCCAGGGGAAATTTGCCTTTCTGTCTCAGTCAGAGGTCTCAGTGCAGTTTAAGGAAGACTGGACAGATAGGGTCAGCAGATCCTGTGTTAGGGCAGTCTGAGGAGAGGAACAGCCCTCAAGACAAAAGTGTCCCTTCTCTAGGATCACAGTGTGTGTAGGGGACCTAGGTGAGCACAACAGGAAAGCCTCTCTCCACTCTGTAGCTGCGGTTAGTGAGTATTTTCTCTTGAAGGTCTTTCCTCTGGAAGGTCTTCAGCCACATTTGGTGTAAAAGGCCTGTAGGATCTCAGAGGTCTATAGTGATTTCCTTAGCTAGGCTCGTGTCTCCATGGAAATGGGAAAATTAACAACTTATTTCACACAATCCAGTCATCCCTTACCTGTGTCCTGCATGTTGAACTGTTGTTAAAACCTGAGTTCTAAAACCCAAAAGTTTCAAAATCTGCTCAGGATGTGAGCCAGGTAGTCACAAAAGCAGCCATTATGTCATTGTGCTTTGCTTTTATCTCTATATGACTCTAAAGTCTTCTATATTCCTTGTTGTCAGGATAAGATGCGGCGGCACCGTGTGTTCCTGCTCTGCACTGTGGGGCTGTGTGTCATCTCCTTCCTGCACTACTACAAGGCCCTGCACTATGTGTCCCTGCGTGAGCTCACGGCACCCTACCCCTTCAAGTCCTTCATCCTGAGCACCGGCTTCTTCTGGAGGGAACGAGGGCTGGCCTCTACCCCACTCAGCCCCGCCTCCCCAGAAGAGCCCCCTCCACAGAGGAAGGAGTCCAGAGCGGAGGTGTCTCAGGGCACTGCGCTGGGCATCCAGGGGGTGGCTGTGGGGGCGGGGGGCGAGCTGGTCAGTGTGGGGCTGGAGGTGAGG